CAAAATATTTACGAAGGTAAAATTTCGCAGTCATTTTGAGGTTCATTGTGATTTTCTGAGTCTTCATTCGAAGTCAAATCTTCAAACCCTTCATTACAATTTCTTTTTCTCGACATTTTACTTCTATTGCAGTTGATTGATTTGTTTGGATTTGCTTGACATTCAAAATAGAATATCCAACCGAGAATAACCAATTTGAATACAGCCTCGTAGAGACGAGCACGAACAAATGACACTATACATTTTTTTGTGAATCTATTCTCGTTAATCGAGAATAATAATAATACAGAACGAGAATTTCTCGCTCGGAATGCAACTCTAAGTCTCACCACTTCTGACGTTTTCGAACGTTTCTCACCATTTCTAACCAAATACTTTCCAAGCTCCTCCCACTTTACTCCCACCATTTTCGAAGCTGTGACCATTTCTGAAATTCCTGACCATTTCTGAAATTCTTGACTATTTCTGAAATGTGTGAACACATAACCTATAAAAATTTTGGTACATCTTTCTAATTTTGGTAAAGTCTCATAAAAATTTATATATGCATATAAAATCTTTCAAATTTATTTTTTACATTTCAGAATACATTATTCTATTATAAAAATTGTTCTTTTAACTTAACAAAAGTTCTCATTTTTCAAATTGGTATAATTATTGAATTAATTATACAGCAAAAGTAGGTAAATAAATCAAAACATTCGGACCATTCTTTTAACATTATTTAATATATTTATTTAATATTAATTTAATATATGTATATTTACTTGTAATTATTTAATATAGTTAATTAATAATAAATTTTGTTTCATAATATTAGTAATTTACTATACCAGTCAGTACTTATTATGAGAAGTATTTGCATTATAATTGAAATACAGTTATATTTAAATTATTATTAATCATTAATAGAATAATTTCTTACTATAATGATTATTAATAATTTAAATTTAAAATTTATAAAAATTTCAATATTGCATTAATAATTCATTATTATTATAAATTATAATGTTAAATTAAATTAATATTAAATACTAAATTCATTTTAAATGCAGATATAATAATAATTATTATTAATCTGTATTCGTATTATAGTTTATGAAACATTCCAAATTGTAAAGTTAAGACTTAATTTATTATTGATTCAATTAATAATGTTAATTTTTATTAATTCAAATAACCTATTATGACTAAATTGAAATATAATTAATTAATAAAAATTATTTAACAGTTTATTCTGATTTATTGATAATATTGGTAATTGAATTTTACTATTTTACAGTTGCTCTTTATATAGACAGTTGAATCCAGAAATATGTAAGTCGGTTCGGTAGTCGCAGTCGTTAGGGCAGTTAGTTTAGCCACTATGTTAGGTCATGCGTCGGGGTTCGATTCCTGTAGGGTCCAAATTTTAATTTAATTCCGGGAATTAGTTTCAAGTTGTTCCGTATGTAAACAAACTGATATTAATTAATAAAATATATTTTTTAAAATTAATTTGTTGCAACTTTTTGCATATTGTTTAAATAAATAAAACAGAAGTGGCTTAAAAATATGGTCAAAAATGAGATACAAATGGTCTCAAATAGTCACCAATTATGGGCGTGGTCAATAAAGAGGAGGGGATAGTAGCAAACTTGTGACCACTTTAAACTTCCTCCTGATCAGTTGTGATAGATTTCTGACGAGATCCATCCAGAATCGTAAGAAAACTGGATTAAAGTGGTCAGGCGGCCTGACCATTTGTCTTACCATTCCTGATTTTATTTTTAGTAGGGAAGAATTGTGTTTATAACTAGAGTATATTTACATACCGTAGAAGGATAGAAGAGTAGTCTCTTCTTCTTGTTTTTAGACTCTTTTTCTTTCTTTACATCCTGGCAGACAACACGACATTTTTTAAATAAAATAAATAAATAATTATTAAAACAAAATGTATTGTATAATTATGTATGTATCTCACCAAGACCGGCTAAATGTAAACATTAGATCTTACATCTCACTCGCACAATTTTTACGAGAAACAGAGACACAACACAGCTTATGCGCATGATCAACTTAATTGGAGGTCGACTAGAACGCTGTGAGCCTGGCACTTTTCGTGCATATTTCTCTGAGATTTTTAAAGCGCTTTCTACACAGAGTTCGGTCTCCTTACTCTTCCTTCCTGAACATAACATACCAATTTTGGAAGGACTGCGGGCGGACTTAACCGATTTTGCCCGAGCATCACCGAGTCCATCACCTGACGTCGCGAACTAACCCTAATGTTTTCGAAGTTGAAATTCACACGTGTATGAAAGAAAAAAACCTTTTATTAATAAACGTGAATGTCTCCTCATGCCAAATTAAATTCAAGAACTGTTCCTCAATATAACATAATTTTTGTCACGACTTTTACTTATTTACATAATTTGATTAGTAAGTTATTTTAAAAAATGCTCTCTCTCGAAGGCACATATTTTTCCACTCGTTTAATATATAAGGACGATTCAGCTGTGTACTTCTAACGAATCGTGCGATCTTTCGGTTTCCGTGACCAATCGTCGTGTCTTTACTTGCGTGTGCGTGTGTGCGTTAATAATATAGGTTAGGTTCTTACGTCGTGTTAAATATATTTACCTACAGTTACAGTGACATACACTAATGCCATCTACCATCAGATCCAAGTATCACTATCGTCTCAATGAGTATCTATCCCTACTAAAAAAATAATGAGGAATCATGACAAAACATCAGAGTTCTGATTATTCGTCAGATTTTCTGATGCTTCTTCTTGACGCTGATGATTTGTCATTTTTCAGATTATTTCTGACAGAATTTTTAGAATGGATTTGATGTTTTGTGAGAACTCTATCAGCTTCTCACATCACTTTACAAACCAAGCTGACCATACTTGAAGCGTATCTTTTAATTTCTTCAAAATGAAGTTTCTTAGAATAAATTTTAGATATTTGGAATCATGAAATATCACAGATTCTGAATTTTTAAATTATAAACTTCAATTAGTTAAATTAAACAAATTTCAAGTCATAAAATTTTTATTTAAAAAATCATAAACCTTCAGAACAATGCCTTTTTTGCCCACTCGACTCAACTCAGTCACAATGACCAATTTGATACGCACCTTTCTTTAACAATAGATTTTCCGAAACTATTGTGATGATTTAAAAACAAGAATTTTATAACTTTAAAATTCTGCATTTTAACTAATTCAACTTTGTAACATAAAAATTTAGAATCTATTGTATTTTACGATTCCAAATATCTAAAATTTATTTTAAAAAACATTTATTAAAATAAATTATAAGGTTGGGTGATAATTAAAAAAATGATTTTTAAAATAAATTTTAGATATTTGAAATCGTAAAATACCATAGATTCTAAATTTTTATGTTACAAAGTTGCATTAGTTAAAATGCAAAAGTTTTAAGTTATAAAATTCTTGTTTTAAAATCATCACAAAAGACTCGGAAATCTATTGTTAAAGAAAGGTGCGTAGCGAATTGGTCATTGTGACTGAGTTGAGTCGAGTGGGCAAAAAAAGGCATTGTTCTGAAGGTTTATGATTGTTTAAACAAAAATTTTATTACTTGAAACTTGATCAATTTAACTAATGGAAGTTTATAATTTAAAAATTTAGAATCTGTGATATTGCATGTTTCCAAATATCTAAAATTTATTCTCAAAACCGTCATTTTGAAGAAATTATAAGCTATCTCGTGAACTATAACTGATATGTAAAAACTGATATCATTTTTGAATTTTAATCCAAGACAGTATAAGGTATACGTAAAAGTCTTCAAAATAATCTGAGTTTATAAACATTAAATATAATGTTGAAATAAACAAAAATGATTTTAAACATTAAAAAAGGTATAATGGTTTTTCGATTTTCTACCCAAGTTATAAAAGGCGTGACGACCTTTTTACATAAAGGAACAAGAATACATCCCCAAAAAAGATTTTTTGCTATGCTATAAAAAAATTCGGTGGCAGTCATAAAAGTTTTCATGATTCTTGGCAGTATTTTGAAGGGTTCTATTTCTTTTTCATGTTTTTGAGCTGCAATTGTAAGAAAAACTGCTCAAAAACACCAGAAATTCTGATTATTTTTCTGATGTTTTGTCATTATTTTTTTTAGTAGGGATAGACAATTAATTTGTTGTGTTTCTTTTTAATTCATGGCTTTCCCAACTTTGCAAAAATTATTATTTTCTTTCTAAAACAACATACTAATTTTCGTTAGTTTCCTTATGAAGAACTGTAAAATATATACTGAATGAGTGTTTTTGATAGTCTTAATAGCAATTTCTATAACCTATGTCGTTTTTCCCTTAAATCTAACCTAACATACGAAAATGTCTCACCAGTTTTAAGAATTAGTGGTATTAAAAGTTTCTCCGTGCACTAAGAGCTTTATTTTTTTTTATATTTTTTTATAACCAAAAATTATTAGCAATATAGTTTTAAATCTCGTAGAAATCAAATATAATATAGGATTAAATTTTTTAATAATTATAAAACTATACAAAATTTTTCTGATTTAAAACTAGTAAAACATAAAATATATTAAAAATGAAATTTAAATACATTAACAATTTATTAAATTGCATAAAATTAAAATTAACTTAAATAGATAAAATAGCATTGAGATATTAAGCTTAGATATAATTAAACAATCAAACTGGTATTTTTTAGAAAAACTTAAATTTCATGTAAAAATGCAAATACATTAATGTTTTGCTAAAGAAAGTACCAGTTTCAGTATATTAAAATTTATATAAGAATAATATGAAGTTCTTAAGAACCTTTTTGTTTTAGAAAATGCAGTAAAAATTCATTCTTGATGCAAGTTATAAAATCAATTTTTAATATCTTTATTCTTCTAAATTACCATTTTTCAAAATATCTATTTTTTGACAAAAATTAATTCCTCTATTCTTATGTAGATTTTAACAAATTAAATGAAACTTTAAGTTAAAAAACGAAATTTACAGATCCCAAAGGACGCTGGAAAAATCTAAGGTCAAAATTTGTGAGCAAACATAAAGATGGAAACGAGAATTGGGTTTATTACGAAGATATGAAATTTTTATTGAATGAAATTCATCATAGAGAGCCTCCTTCCTCGGCAGCATCTATGGCAAGGTAATCTAAAGTTTATTTAACTAGGTTTATAAAAAGCTTTACTACTTTGAGTAAATATTATTAAATTGACAAATTAATTTCCAGTAATTCACAAAGGTCTTGCGCAAATGGAAATTTCAATTTCTCAGCTTCACCAGCAACTTCAGTGTCAAGGTATTTTAAAACAAAATTTAGATATATTTCTCGTTCTATTCCAAACTAAATTACTTGTTAATAAAAATTACGTTTATTATATTTTTATTTAAATTAATTTTCAGTAATTTACAAAGGTCTTGCGCAAATGGAAATTTCAATTTCTCAGCTTCACCAGCAACTTCAGTGTCAAGGTATTTTAAAACAAAATTTAGATATATTTCTCGTTCTGTTCCAAACTAAATTACTTCTTATTAAAAATTACGTTTATTATATTTTTATTTAAATTAATTTTCAGTAATTCACAAAGGTCTTGCGCAACTGAAAATTTCAATTTCTCTGCTTCACCAGCAACTTCAGTGACAAGGTACTTTAAAACAATATTTAGATATGTTTCTTGTTCTGCTCTAAACCAAATTAGTAACAGGGTGTCTACTAATCGTGAAATTCGGGAAATAGCCGGGAATTTAATTTGACAGGTAAAAACCGGGAATAAACCAGGAATTTTATGCCAAACCGGGAATTTTTTCACCAAATTAATAAAAGTTTTATTATTTTAATTTATTTTTAAAAATCGCTTTTTACTTTATTTTTTATACATAGAAATAGATAAATTTTTTTAATGAAATTAAAATTTTTGAAAAGTTTTTTTAATAATTATGAAAAAAAAGATTTTTAGAATTTTTAAATTAATTGAAATTTTTTTAGATTTTATTGAAAATAATTGAATTTTTCTTAAAGAAATTTATTAAAATTTTTTGAAAATAATCAAGGGAAGTTAATAATTAATGTTTTGCTTCTTCAAATAGTATTATTATATTATTATTTAATAATTATAATTATTAAATTTCTCTTAACCCTTTAACGTCCAGCGGTACATATGCTGTACCATAAAGAATAAAAAAACCTATCTTCAAATAGGGTTAATATATTTAATTACAAAATGATATCTAGGGGTTTTCGGGGTCGCTGATTACGAATCTGATGTCAGATTTTGAAAATTCAAAATGGCGGATCCAATATGGCGTACCGAAAAATTTAAAATTTGATGGATTTTCATGAAACTTGGTATGTAGGGGTTTTCGAGGTCCCTGATTACGAATCTGATGTCAAATTTTAAAAATTCAAAATGGCGGATCCAATATGGCGGACAAAAATATAAAATTTGATGGATTTTCATGGAAAAAGGGGTATTTAGGGGTTTTTGAGGTCGCTGATTACGAATCTGATGTCGGATTTTGAAAATTCAAAATGGTGAATCCAATATGGCGTATCGAAAAGTTTAAAATTTGATGGATTTTTATGAAACTTTGTCTTTAGGGGTTTTCGAGGTCGCTGATTACGAATCTGATGTCAGATTTTGAAAATTAAAAATGGCGGATCCAATATGGCGGACGAAAATTTACAATTCGATGAATTTTCATGGAACTTGGTATCTAGGCGTTTTTGAGGTCGCTGATTGCGAATCTGATGTCGGATTTTGAAATTTTAAAATGGTAAATCCAATATGGCGTATAGAAAAATTTAAAATTTGATGGATTTTTATGAAACTTAGTATGTAGAGGTTTTCGAGGTCGCTGATTATGAATCTAATGTCAGATTTTTAAAATTCAAAATGGCGGATCCAATACGGCGGACGAAAATTTAAAATTAGATGGATTTTCATGGAACTTGGTATCTAGGGGTTTTCGAGGTCGCTGATTACGAATCTGATGTAGGATTTTGAAAATTAAAAACGGCAAATCCAATATGGCGGACCGAGAATTATAAATTCATGAATTTATATGGAGCTTTGAATCTAGGGGTTTTCGATGTCACTGATTACGAATTAGATGTCATATTTTCAATATTCAAAATGTCGCATTTAAAGATAATGGATAAATTTTAGAAACTGTATTAGGTCTTTAATAATTTTTAAATACGAAACCAACTTACACTTTGCGTGACCCAGAACTAACGACGTGGACTTAGTAAGCCACTAGTTCCAAGCTACATTGGATATATAATCAGCTACCACAAAAACCCCTACATACCAAGTTTCATAAAAATCCAACGAATTTTAAATTTTAGGTCCGCCATATTAGATCCGCCATTTTAAATTTTTAAAATCTGACTTAAAATTCGTAATCAGCGAACCCGAAAACCCCTAGATACCAAGTTCCATGAAAATCCATCGAATTTTAAATTTTCGGTCTGCCATATTGGATCTGCCATTTTGAATTTTTAAAATCTGACTTAAAATTCGTAATCAGCGACCCCGAAAACCCCTATATACCAAGTTTCATAAAAATTCACCAAATTTTAAAATTCCGGTCCGCCATATTGGATCCGCCATTTTGAATTTTTGAAATCTGACATCAGATTCGTAATCAGGGACCCCGAAAACCCCTAGGTACCAAGTGTCATAAATTTTGAATGGAAAAAAAAATTTGGACGTTAAAGGGTTAAAGTATTACTTATTAAATAAATAATTAATTATTACTGTTTATTATTGTCAAAAATTTTAATGAAATAGTAAATAGCAAAAATTTTTGCAGAAACTTAATTATTATCAATAAAATTAAAAAATAAATATTTTTTAATTGTAATTATAAACAGATGATTGTTTTTAAAAAAATTCTAAAAATTCTTTGTTTAATTCAATTATTTTTTATGTTTTCAATTAAATTATTAAAAAATACGTTATTCTCAAAAAAGAAACTTGTAAAAAGAATTTAATTATTCATAAAAACTAATAAAATTTTGTGAAGCCATATGTAGATTTATTTATGTTCAAAATGAAATAAATTTTAAATTGATGAGAAAAAACAATCGGGAAAAATAATGACAAAGCCGGGAAATAACCAGGAATTTTGTTAAACGAAAATAATAGACACCCTAATTTTAATTAAAATTACGTTTACTATATTTTTATTTAAATTAATTTCCAGTAATTTACAAAGGTTTTTCGCAACTGAAAATTTCAATTTCTCTGCTTCACCAGCAACTTCAGTGACAAGGTATTTTAAAACAATATTTAGATATATTTCTCGTTCTGTTCTAAACCAAATTGCTTGTTAATATAAATTAAGTTTATTATATATATATATATATATATATATATATATATATATATATATATATGTGTATATATATATATATATATATATATATATATATATATATAAATATATATAAATATATATATATATATATATATATATATATAAATATATATATATATATTTATTTCAGAATGCCTCTAAATTCCTGTAACCCTGGCAGAATAAATAATCAAGAAAATGATATTGAAATGAGTGAACCAAATTCAAATTTTATACCTTCAAGAGAAAAGTTTGCTGATCATGATTATAGTGAAACCAGGAACTCAGAAGGTCACTGTTACATGAAGGAAACATATTTGTAGGAAACATTATTAGTGAACCAGCTTTGAGTTTCGATTCAATTGGACTCACTCTAGGAAGTGCAGTAGAATTAAATAATTCACTCATTTTGTCTCCTGAACAATCATTAAAGCAAAACTCTTTTGCAACTGCTTCTGAATTTACTGGAGGAAGAATTTTTTATCCAGCTAATCTTTCTTCTACTGAACCTTCTACTGAACAATCGCGAACTAACTTACATCGACATTCTTTTCCTAAATTAAATTCACGTATATCTGAAATATCTTCCACTTCAAGTATTCCATCGAGCATTTCATCACCATCGTCAATATCACCATTACCTTCGTGTTCAAAATTTACTCATAATTCAAAAGATGATGATCTGCAAATAATGGAAATGAGACCAAATTTATTAATGAATCAAGATTTACCTGGATCTTTATTTTCAGGAAATGTTTCGACGTTTCTTACAAAGCAAAATGAAAAAAAATCACGTGACACGAAGAGTAACATTAAATCAGAAGTAAAAATTAAAAAGAAAAAGATTGTACCGCCTTTTGACAAGTTTGCATTGGAAAAAAAGGAAAGAAGATAGTAAATCGAATGCTGTTGGAGACGTAATTATTGAAACATCAAACAATCTAAAAGTAATGTCATCTGAGATTACAGAATATATAGAATTAAAAAAACAATTGATGAGACGACAACTTGAAAGCAATAGTAAAAATACAAGTTCTGAGCATCTTTTCAATAATTTAGAAATAGAGTGGAAAAAACTTAGCGAAAAAGAACAAGATGAGTTGTTTCCAAAAATCTTTAATGAAATGAAAACATTTATGTAGTCAATACGTTTCCTACATTTCTACCAGCATTAATATTTTTATTAATTTGCATTCCATATAACTTTACATTGACGTTACATTAATTAAGAATTACATGTTTATCATCTTCAAAGTTTTATGAAATTCATCAATTAACTGTGTTATAAATTTTTTATTGATTTCAAGAGTTTATTCAATTTAAAGTATTTTCCAATTAACAATTATGTTTAATGTATGTTTAATGTATATATAATGAGAATATAGAATGTACATCTACTTTTGAATAAATAAACTTTATTTTTATTATTAACAATAAATCATAGTAAAAATTAAATAAAATCATTATTACTCTTATAATATTAACATATTAAATGTAAAACAATAAATTTTTTTATACATTCAGCTTTAAGAAAGAAATTGACTAAACTATTTATAGGGAATATTATTAAAGAACCAGTTTTAAATAATTAGAAAAATATAGTTATGTACTGTATTAAGTAATTTTTATCAGAACAATTATTATAATTAATTTTGCTGACAAAGCTAACATTTTTTACATATTTATTTATAAGATTGGAGTACCTAACACTAAAAAATAATAATTATTTATATTTTGAAAAATGGTTTTTTTTAGTTTTTAGTTTTTTTATTAAAATAACTTGATAGTATTCATTGTCAACTTTATGCAAAACGAATGACAAACTATTAACACATAACCACGAATAAGAATCAGTAATTATTTTTTAAAGTACTCAATTTTTGTTGCTTTTCAAAATGATAGACATTTTGATGCCATTATTTATGATTATTTTCCAATGGTTGCAATTAGTACGTGCATATTTCCGTCTGCGAAGGAGGCAAGGTCATTTTCGACGTTGGTGGGTAAAACCACACATTCGCGACGCTGTGCGAGATATATTTGGTGCTTATCAAACATTATTTTTTTACTTTTTGGAAAATGATGAAGAAGAATTTTATAAAATGGTGCGAATGACACCAGATCAGTTCAATACGTTGCACAATTTAGTAGGCCATCGACTGAGAAAAAGAAGTTTTCGACGTCCTTTACCTTCAAGACTCCGAGTAGCTGTTGTTTTAAGGTAGGGTAAGTGTGCCAATTATGGCGCGGTTCTGGTTTAGCCGTCTTTGAAATAGAAAATTCAAAAATTATAATGAAAGAAGTAAATTTATGGCTTATTAAACTAAAAGCCCGTGTATGTCATATAGATAATAAAACTTTTATAAAAACTTTATAAAAATTAATTATTTAAACAAAATTAAAGCAATAAGAATTAGGATTAAAAACGTCAATTATGGCGCGGTTGAGTCAATTTCGGCGCGCCAATTACGGCGGGGAAAATAACGTGTATTTAGAGGTTGTGTTGCGCGCCATAACTGGAGCACGCACATTCAATGAAAATGTGCCAATTATGGCGGGGCACAATTTTTGTACTTAAATAATTAAACCAATAATAGTTCAAATGTGTTTTTTTTCGTACAATTATATCGAGTAAGGTCGAAAATAACTTTTTCTATCATTTTCAAATAACTATATTATTCTAAAATAGTAAATAATTCTATTTTTTACAAAGTCGCCATAATTGGAGCACCCACCACAATTGACACACTTACCCTAAATGGTTTAAATTTATTTTAAATTAGTTCAATTTTAATTGAAATTATCTAAATTTTGATAACATATTAATTTAATTGCTCAAATAAAAAAATTGATTATAAAAACAATTATTATATTATACAATTATTATTATTATTATTATATTATTATTATTATTATTATTATTATTATTATTATTATTATTATTATTATTATATTATATTATTTTAATTATTATAATTATTATTTATTTTTATTTTTTTTATTCTAAATTAAAAAGATTAAATTTTTTAATTTTCTTTTTGTAATATGTGATATATTTATATTTTAACAATAACAAATAAAAAAATAATTGCTTAAATCCGTTTAAGTAAATTAATATTTACACCCAAAAACAACAATATTAAACTATTTTAAAAAATTAATTTACATTGTTACACGGAGAAACTTTTAATACCACTAATTCTTAAAACTGGTGAGACATTTTAGTATGTTAGGTTAGATTCAAGGGAAAAACGACATAGGTTATAGAAATTGCTATTGAGACTATCAAAAACACTCATTCAGTATATATTTTACAGTTCTTCATAAGGAAACTAACGAAAATTAGTATGTTGTTTTAGAAAGAAAATAATAATTTTTGCAAAGTTGGGAAAGCCATGAATTAAAAAGAAACACAACAAATTAATTGTCTATAGTTATATTTCATTTAACTTGTTCGAAGATATAATAACTTGTAGTACCGCAACTTGTTGTCGGATGACGCCACTGTTCAGAGATAGAAAGAGAAAATCTCACTCCCTCTCTCTCTCTCCTTTGTCTATCTCTTACTACCTACTCTCTACCTTTCATTCGTTTCTTGGCGTTGGTGACAGCCACATCACGTTTTCAACGAAATTAAAAGTGTGTGAAGAAGATGGAAAAACTGGAAGTGTGGAAGAGCAGAAGCGGAACGTTTATAGGATTTTAAAGAAAGTTCATGCTATACAGCATGAGGAGACAAAGTCTCCAAATAATAAGGAAGTAAGCTCGAATATGTACGTGTAAGTAATTTAAACATGCAAGCATTGCTTTTCCCAACATGGCTGAGCTTCAATCCCGAATTGTTGCCAATAGCTGAGAGGGATTCCTGATCCTCAATCATGAGTTGAGGACGGGAAATAATAAAAAGTAATTAACGACAAATAATTCGTTAAGTCTAAGAGCTACTTCCGTGCATTCTTCAGATACATTATAAAGAAAAAGTCTCAAAGGATGAGTTTCAAAATAAAATCGAATGTATTTAATACAATTTGGACAATAAACTTAGCCAAAGGCATTTAAGAAGGAAGAAAAATATAATAATAATAAAAAAAACAGGAGAATTATAAAAAAAAAGAAACTAAAAAAAACAAAAAAAAAACAAAGAAGAATTATAAAAAAAAAAAAAAAAATTCTATTATGGGAAAGGAAGTTCTATCAATCCTTTAGTGATTGTTTTTAGTGTGAAAATTTCTGTATATATTTATCAGAAATATTAGTGACAAAATTAAATATATCTCAATTTAAATTAAAAATCCTAATAAATTATTAGAAAATGTCTGGCTCAGCATTAATAGCTTCCCAGTAAAAAAAAACTAATTCAAATGAATTAAAACGAATTAACATTTTTGGTAGGCTCCAATTCGTATTTGTCACAAAGCGGGATTCACTCAAGCTCTTTGTATATTCAATTGAATTTAATTCAATATGTACCAATCTGTCCAAACGAATTCGCATTCGAAAGAAATGGCCAAGGAATGCATTGAATTCGTGCTAACGAATTGAAAAAAAATTAAAGGCTCAAAACTTGTCCAGCGAATTGGTACGGATAGAAGGTTCGGAAGTTCAATACAGTTTCACGAATTCAGAAAAATTGCATCATGGCTCCAATTCGTATTTGTCACAAAGCGGGATTCACGAAAGCTCTTTGTGAATTCTTTTTAATTCATTTCAATTAGTTTTCGTTTACTGGGTTTATCATGACATTAAATCCCATTATTAAATTATTCTCAGAAAATTGTTGACAGAATCTTAACTGCCTTCCTCTATAACCGAAGCAAGGAAAGTTTTTATTTTTGGTAAATATAGTACAAAAATAATAAAATTAATACATTTCTTAAATAATACTCTTATTTGGAAATCATCTGAAAGCCTTGTCTGACTCATCTAAGGCCATCAAGGATGTTTTAAAGTAATACAGAAACAATACACCCTAAATAAGAAAACATTCTAGCAACATCAGTACCAGCTATTAGAGCCTCAGCGCAAAGGATTGGATTTACATTTACGTCTGTTGTTCTCCAGGGTCAAATATACTTATGTTTTTTAGCCCTATACCTAGGTTTTATTTCTAATTACAGCAATAAACAAGCTGATATTAAAGAAAGTAAGACGGAAACAAATAATATAAGACAAAGTGATTTGCCATTTAGTACAAAAATACCTTTTTATACACAAATAAGGCTTTCACTTACCAGTCAATCAATTGCTATCTATAGAAGCAAATGATAAGTATACAATATCATACTGGTTTCTTCATAAATTATATGTATATTATTAATAACTTTAATTTAA